TATATATATATATATATATATATGTATATATGTGTGTGTACAGTTTAATTTAAAAGAAAAAATTCACGCGAATGTATCAATTTGATAATCAATAATCACTGATTACTTTTTATCTTAAGAGTATCTTAAAATGTAATAAGGAAATTTTATTGCGAAAGTTTTTCGAACGAATGTGACGACAATTAGTTTATCGTGAGAGAAGTGTGCATTAATGTAGAAAAGAACCTTCGCTGATACTCGTATAATTCATGATCGCCTATGTACCGATCGCAGCACTTCGGGATCCAGCACGTTAGGGGCAGTGACGATGACACTTTCGTGCCTGAGATCGTCTCGGAAATGCTCCTTCACCCATGCAGCATCCTTGCGAAATACAGAATCGATTGGCATATAGAGCTCTACTTCATCAATCTCTTCTCTCCAGAGTAATAGTCCGAGACCGAAGACGAGATTTAGGCATAGGGAAATTATTAGCCAAAGCCACGGTTTTGTAGCTATATTATATCCGATCCTGAAAGACACGAAAATAAAGAAAATGGAAGACAATTAAACTAATTAAGACAAATAAAAAAATGAACGCGTAATATTAAACAATCGTAAAATTTTTAAATTGTGTGTGTGTGTGTGTGTGTAAAACACATAGAAATTAAAAATTGAAGAACTTACTGCAACAAATGAGTTAACTCGCATTTTGTAAAAACGGAGATAAACTCTGAAGTTAAAGTAATGTGAAAATATATTTATTTTTCGTTTTTATAAAATATTTTAGTTCACTGCAGTACAAGCCCTTCGATTAATTAAATAAAAATAAACTCAATAAAGCATCAATTTGTATATAAACTTGAATATAACGTTAGTCAGACACTATAGATCAAATCATATAAATTCAATCCATGATCAATATGACCATCAGACGATGATAATCGATAAGCTGACTAAGTCGGGGACAATGATCTATGAATTATTATGCGAAAGCACACACGGAGAAAAATATTTAGTTGAATTAATTGAAATTCTGATGGAAAATGAACGTTCTAGAATTCTGGTTAAATCTACTAGATTCTGATTATACTAAAGTTCTAGTAAATTTAATTAAATTTAATAGACTAATCAGAATTCTGGATCATTCATTTTCTACCAAAATTGCAGTTAATTCAACCGAATGTTCAATTTCATCGTCGGGTTTACTGAGTTTGCGTAATTTGATTTTATCAACAATATTTCTCACTTTTTTATTTTTATTGGAAATACAATTTTATTATTTATTAATTTTCGTAGCGTTATTGATTTCGTTCCTTTTTTT